TGAGAGTGCAAAAGTTGGCTTGAAACTCAACATTAAGAAAACTAAGATCATGGCATCCGGTCCTCTCAGTTCCTGGCAAATAGATGGGGAAGAAATGGAGGTAGTGACAGATTTTATTTTCCTGGGCTCCAAGATCACTGCAGACAGGGACTGCAGCCAAGAAATTAAAAGACGCTTGCTCCTTGGGAGGAAAGCCATGGCAAATCTAGACAGCATACTAAAAAGCAGAGACATCACCCTGCCAACAAAAGTGCGTATAGTCAAGGCTATGGTTTTCCGAGTTGCAATGTATGGCTGTGAAAGCTGGACCATAAGGAAGGCTGAGGGCAAAAGGATTGAGCCTTTGAATTGTGGTGGTGGCGGAGACTCCTGCGAGTCCCTTGGACCGCAAGGCAATCCAACCGGTCAGTGCTAGAGGAGATCAACCCTGACTGCTCCTTAGAAGGCCAGATCCTGAAGATGAAGCTCAAATACTTTGGCCACCTAACGAGAAGGAAGGACTCCCTGGAGAAGAGCCTAATGCTGGGAACAACAGATGGCAAAAGAAGAAGGGGATGGCAGAGGATGAAGTGAGTAGATGGAGTCACTGAAGCAGTCGGTGTGAGCTTAAGTGGACTCCGGGGGATAGTGGAGGACAGGAAGGCCTGGAGGAAGGTTGTCCATGGGGTGGCGATGGGTCGGACACGACTTCGTGACTAACAACAACATGAAAGTGGTAGAATGTGCATTAATACCAGTAGCTAAGAAAAACTAGATAACTTTTACTCCATTTAGAATACCTAGAAATGGACATTTATTTGGAACCAAGTAAAGATAATATTAAATAGCTTGGGGGCTTTATTACTCTGTGAAAGAATAAATTTAGAATGACATTTGAATCTGTAGCTCCAAGAAAGGGCACTTAATGTCAGCTGGTTAGAGTAACTAAAAAAAACACTTACAATACTTTCTGATGTCAAAGACTCATACTTCCAGCCACAAATTATCATTGTTCTAGCTTATCTGTTACTATGTATGTAACCCAGAATTAAAAGAAACATATTTTAGTTAAATCTGACTAAATTAAATCCTTGGCTCGATCAAGTGACACAAGCAACTGTTAGCTCAGTCCTCATGTGCTAAGGTACACCAATAGTGTACCCAATAGTTTATGACTGTGGCGAGATAGTGTCCAAACTCATTCCTTTCCTTCAGGGATTAAACACCTCGGAGCAATGGGCCAAATCTGGCCTGTTTAAGATCCCAGCCCCTTATGGGTGCATCTTACTTGTTTTAATGGATGAATCTCTAGATGTAAATTGAATATGGAGCTGTTTTCAAATTACTAGACTTCATTTTGTTCATTATGTGATGGTATTTGCTTATAGCTTTGATACAGCTACAAACTCCTGAAATAAGGGAATAAAAGGCTTATTGGATCCAGTCCTCATGGCTTGTGCAACAGGACTTCTCTCCGTGCTCCTCCCCTCCGTGCTTCCCACACTGCTCCAGGGGGTCCCCTAATCCTGCAAAGCAGATTTGAGCAGAAGGGGAAACTCACTTCTGCCTGTAGTTCCCTTCTGCTGGTGGAATGACACCATTGGCTGCAACCCAGATGCTTCGTGAACAGAGCTTCAGTGCTGTCTTTTAAAAGGCATTGTGATCATATACACAGACAGTTGGTTTTCTTTTCATAGAAGAACCTAAACATTTTTTCCTGAACCATATTAACTAGCCTAAGGTTCATCTTGCTCTAGTTGGCTTACCATGCTGCCAGAGACATTTTGGTAATTTCTGTTTGAATATGCATAGTATTGCAACCTAAAAGTTCAAAACCAGAAGTACTGATAAAAAGACAATGCCATCTTCATTGTCATTTTAGTGCTTGAATTATTCGATCCACAGTTATCAGTTGTATTGTAAGCTTATGCTTGCTAATCATGCCAAAATGTTGAAAAAAAGAAGTTTGCACCCTTATCATTTTAATCTGCCTTTTTTTACAGAGGAGTAAATGTCGTTCCTTTCCTTGAATTCATAGGATTTCCAGAAAGCATTGTCAATATTTTAAAACAGTCTCAGAGTGGAAATGCATTAACTGCATATGCAATGTATAAGGTAAGTTTTGCATAGATTTTTGAACTTTATGTATAAGAAAATCTGAGAATACACAATAATAAAATAGCCACAACACAATTAGCAGTAAAGCCTGCATCATGATTCTTCAAAATTCAGCACTAAAAATAAGGTAAAATAAGAGTTAATAGAATTTGTCACAAGGTGATCACTAATGTTGTAGTTAATCAGACTGATCCTGGTCTTGAATATTGACAAAGGCGGGGGAACACTGGAAATATAAATTAATTACAGAACAAGAAAATTGAAAGAATTACCCTTTACAGACTAGTACTGGTATTACTGTTCTTGAGAAGCTGAAGATAGCAGTTATAAAAGTAGATCCTCTTAGGAATGAGGTATACAAGAACATAAAGGGTTTTAAGGAGAGAGTTAAAGGTGGAAATGAAAAAAGCACTATGAATTGTAGGTAATGGAGTGAATGGATATTTTTGACAATTCTCTTTAGCTCAAGAGCACTTGAGTTAAGTTGTCTGCTTGCAATGCTTTTTCATCCAGTTCTTTCCTCTGGTCAAAAGCCTTATTTTCCTCAGCTCTCAAACACTGATTCTCATGCAGCAAGACACAGAATGTATTTCATCTCTTTAAAACACTCAGGCTTAAAAAGTTGTGGAGTATTTTATTCCTTGTGGGTTTGCTCCAGAAACCTTATTTGCATTCACCTGTAATTGCAGGCTTGCAAACAGATAATCTGTTCATTGTCTCTGATGAGGAGAATCAACTTGAGACAACCAGACCATTGTTCCATATTGTTTTTGCTGTGCTTTCTCATTTCCCTTCTCCTTACCAGAAGGATGAAAGCCTGCCCAAACAGAACAGCTTTTATTCAATGTGGGATGTGGTGAGGGGGGAGTGTACTAACATCTGTCTGTCTCTACTTTGTGAAAGAGTATTTGCTCACCATCGGTGTCTGCAGCACCTGGAGAGAAGCTGTGCATAATATTTCTCTCCCTTCATCCTAATTTTAGATTATCTGGCTCTAACTCTTGAAAGAAAAAGCTGCTACCATTAGCTCCACACCACAGAAACATAGTGCAGTACTAATTGTAATGTTTTTTCCCTGTTTTTTTTTAACTAGTTCGGTCATTTTAAGGAGTGCCGGTGAACTTATAAAATATGTGCTTAAATAATGATATTCAGTACACTGTTGACTGGCAAGATGTTATCTCCTTTTTCTGTCTGTGGAACGGGAATGATAATATTATTCCGCAGACTCGTTCTAAGGATGAGCACCAATGGTATGATGGAGCAAGGGTTTTCAAGGACTCAGAGAAGTTTTTTAGTAGCCAGAAGTTGACAGCCTTTCAGAATTCATTCTTGCTTCTGAGTATACTTTGCCATATATTCGCACACATGCACACACTGACACCAATTTGACTTTTCCACATTTTATACTGTTACAACCTGGTATTGAAATGGGTTTACTTGGCATTTTTCTTAGTTGGTGAACATAAGATACTCAACAGAGAGAAGGTGCAAAATATTTTTATCATGGCACAAAAGTGAAATAAACAAAAACAAACTGGTACTTGTTGTTTGCATAAACATTCACCCCCTTGAGTCAATACTTAGTAGAATCAGCTTTAGTAGTAATAACAGCTGCAGTTCTTCTTAAATAAGCCTCCATCAGCTTTACATGTAGGAATCCATGCAATACTTGTCCATTCGTCTAGGCAAAACTGCTCCAGTTCTGTCAGGTTGGAGAGGAACTGTTGGTACATGCCAAGTTTCAAGCCTTGCCACAGATTCTCAATCAGATTGAGGCTCAGGCTTTAACTGGACATTCTATTTCCTGTTTTTAAACTTTGGCTGTGTGTATAGAGTCACTGTCCTGCTGGTAGGTGAACCTCCACCTCAGTCCTGGGTCTCTTGCAGACTCAAACAGATTTTCTTCTAGAATTGATCTGCATTAGACTGCGTGTTGCATTAGCAGTGTGTGTTGGGCAGGATTTGAACATTCACTGCCCAACCATGGTTTATCATGCGGTATGAACTCAGATGGCGGAGGTTGTACAAGCATTAGTTAACACTAGAGCAGATAATGGGCAGTAAATATTCAAAACAGCCACTGGTACATGCTACAACCCACCATGTTTTAACTAAGCCATGCTGGGCAGTTTGATCATGTTTACTGTGCCAATTGTTAGGTTAATGGAAAGGTGTTTAACCAAGAATTATTCCATAGTGACCAGCTTTGCATGTCACAAAACAATTGCTGATGTAGACAGTTGGAGATTATGAAAAATGAAAACTTCATACCCTGTGTTAAATAGCGGTATAATTGACCCCTCATTTACCACATGAAGGTGGGGCATTGCTTTCTTGTCTCAATAGAATTTGCTGTGTTCTCTCTTGGCAGGTTTTTATCTTGGCCTGGCTAGCATACAATGAAACATTCTCATCCTCGAGTTGTCCACTGTTAACTGAGCAGTTTTTCTGATGTAAGAGGCACAGAACATTTATAAGTAGACACAAACTGCGAAAGCATCAGCCTTCATTGAAGTCAGAATTAGTAGATGTCTTCCCACTTACTTCCTGATGATATGTCATTAGGTGGAAATCTAAAACTGGGAACAAAGATTTGGGTGGGAGGAAAAGGGGAGTGAGCACACAAGTACAAGATTAAAAAGGACAATCAAAAGTACATCAAGGTCTTATTTAGGTAAAGTTGTCATGTTGCTTTGAAAATGTATTTTTAAAAATTCTTTCTTGCCTATTTTTTCTCTCTGAAATTTGCATCGCTTATCTACATCAGTAGTTTTCAGTAGGTAGATTCCACTTTGTTCCTCACTTAAACGATACTGTACAACTCTTCTGCTGGATATAGTTGAAGGACAAGACAGTAATCCAGACAAACCTTTCTGGACTATATCCAATGTTGTCGTCTTCCACAGCACCAGATTTTCTCCAGAGGGCAAAACTGCTCTACTGATAGGTGCCATTTGATCAACAGAGTTGACATGGCCCTGTAACTTAGTAAGCTTGTGCCATATCCACTTGATATCCATATCCACAGCTGTCTGTGAGTTTGTTGTCCTCCATCTTCATATTGTGACTTGTTACTTATTGCACAGGGCTACTGTCTTAAGCTATTCAATTAAGTTGGCATTTTCTCTTATCATTCTGAAAAGCATCATTTAAGGAAAACAGTGGAAGCCTGATGGTAGCATGTTTAGTACAACATGATCACATGTATACTTTTCTTCCCCTTTTGCAACTCCAGATTGCAACGCCAGCCAGATACATGGTGACTTTAGGAGGAACATCTATCACTGTGAATTATCTTCGTAAACGGGGCTACATGTCCACACCACCTCCAGTGAAGGAATACATTCAAGACCGAATGGAAGAAACAAAGGAGCGACTGTCGGGGAAGATGGAGGAAACAAGAGACATGATTAGTGGCAAAATGGAAGAAACAAAAGAAAGACTAACTGGGAAAATGGAAGAAACAAAAGAGAGGATAACAGAAAAGATACAAGAAACCAAAGAAAAGGTTTCATTTATAAAAAAGAAAGAATAGGAAAATGGCATAGTCTAAGCATTCTTGGCCTTTAAGAAATCTGGACTATATACTTTTTTGTTTCTGCTTTGTTTGAAATATTTTGGCTGAGTAGAAAATACCAGTAATCTAAAAACATAGTACTTAAGGATTATATCTTCCTTCTTAAAAGTATCACATTTTATTCAGATAGCATGTGGCAGATACCACAGCAACAGCTATCTTCACAGTCATGTCCCAGAGGGTTGTGCAGTGGTGCTCCCTAGTTATGGTCATTGGTCATGTCTGGATGTATATGAAGGAAAAAGGTTTTTTACGCATCTGACTGAGTGACCCTTCAAGCTATCACCACCCATCATCCTGCAACAAAGAACTAGAAAGGTTAGGTCATGTATTACATGTCAGTGTTGAATGATGCTGGCAATATTTGCAAATCATTTAATCTTAATATTCTAGAAAGATCAGGTAATAATAAAACTCACATTCTATTCCATTTCCTTACTAAAGCTTGGTTTAATATAGTGTATAAGATTGAGTAAAACAGTACTGAACAGTACTGAACTGGATTGCATATTTATAGTTCAAAATAGATATTGATTCTCCTACAATTAGGCTAAAATAAGCGTTGAATTTCATGCCACTGATAAAGCCTTTTAAAAGGGATGAAGCAGATCTGTCTTCGTGCATGGCATAGATGTTTGCACCTCAATAACTTTTGTCAGAGAGAAAAATAATACCCTTTGCAAAGAAGATGTTTGTAATATTTTCACTAGAGTCTAAACTTCAATATCACCATGCTGTGGATTAATCTCAGTATTTTTCTGGTCCAAATTTACTGCCAGTAATCTCCATTGTTTTGTCGTTTCTGTGACAGTCGCTCAGCCCAAACCACTATATGGTATTTCAGTTCCTCTGTGGTGAATATATAGGTTGGAAATGTAAAGGACCACTACATCAGGAGCTGGGCCCCTGAACTCCCAGTTACTCAGACATCCTGTTGTGCATAGGCAGCTGCTTCTGTTGTGACTGAAGGAAGCATGGGAGGGAGGGGGTTGCAACTAAAACAGTTTGGCCAGTTTGCAGTCCAGCTAGATTAATACTGTATGAAATGGAAATTGTCTATCTCTAGGCTTGCTTCTGTCATTTATGTTTGCCATTAGTTAGCATCATATAGGCCCTTTTCAGGAAAGGAGTAAAAAAAAAAATGATCCAGGTAGCACCTGCAAATCTAATGCTGGAATCTAATGCCCTGCATACCTTTGAGGAATCCACTTAGAAAAGTGTATTTTCTTCTTTGGCAGTAGCATTTAGAACTAAGTATGACAGTCTGCAGAATATTATAATGGAGTTAAGTACTGCCTTTCAATAGTCAGTTCAAAGCTTGAAAGAAACAGTGTAGGGTTCTCATTTAAGTTGGAAACATGAACCACTCCCCAATTTGCTTTCCAGTTCTTTCCATGATTGTAGAAACCTTAACACCTCATGCTTTCATAGTCTTGCTCTTGTTAATTCCAACTGCTCACCATGCAGTTTCAAACCAATAAACTTTCTGTGGACCTGTCATAGGTTGTTGATACTCTTTCCACTCTAAGTACATCCTGTCATTTAACAGTGCTTGTCACAGGAGTGCTTACTCTTTCTCATCAGTGAGAAACTTGGTGGCTTAAACAATCCTGTAAGATAATCCCACGAAGTTTGTAATATATCTTTTTCTTGTTCCTATAAGGGAATTTCATGTACAGAGCTACATGGCAGGTGATTCTTATTTTCTTACTGCGCAAAACAAGTTTTTGTTTTCATTTGTACAACTGTAGTTGATTTTTTTAAAAGTTGCATGGGGGTTGAAGGTGGATGACATTTTACCAAATATTCAGAGAGCTGGAGATGATATGCCATAAGCATCTGCTACTGTAGTTTGTCTTATTGTCCAAACCCAGGAACCATGGCTTGTTGGAGGGGCAAGTAAACCTCCACTATCTCATGGCCCATGGTTGGATTATGTAAGAGTTGCTAGCATTACCTGTGAGAGTAATTAAGGGAATTCAGTATGCATGTGTCACAGGAAAAATAAGCCACCATGGTGTATTTCCCAAAAGAAGCATGTTAAAAACTTAAGCTGTTAGATGGGAATTTCATGTTAACTTCACCTAGTACAGAGCATATGTCTAACCAAAAAAGAAGAATGGCACAATGGGAAATAGTGAGAGGATTTTAGCCTAGGAATAGACAATACTAAGATAACTTTCTCTTGCTTGGATCGTCACTTTAAAGTCCTTTTATAAAGAAGGTACTCTGATTGAATGGAACTATCAATAAAATGAAATATTTTTTCTTCCAGTATCTGAGTTTTGTTGTCATAATATCAAGATGGGCAGAATATTGGATTAACATAAATGGAAACAGTATTTTAGTGTGATAATTTTACATCAAATGAAACTCTAGTCAACAGTAAACTTGCAACTTGTCTCACTGATCCTACATCTTATGCAAGCTGTAATTTAATGCGTACACAGAATCTTTATGCAGCGATTTCTCAGTAGCCTGTTTTCGTATTGGCATAGCCTATGTATTTTTCCCCTTTTCTGTCAGGGTTGTTTAATGTTCTGGTCTGCTGATTGTCTCTGATCCTGTTAAGGTTTCAGAGAATAAAAATCAAGCTCTATCCTTTCTCATAAATCATTTACTGTCACCCATGATAATAATAATTACAGATTCTTAATTACCTCTAGCAATTATGTAGCTATTTTGATGAGGATGATTCTGTAAGGAGAAAGAACACATCTTGATTATATAAGCCTGCAAGGGAACATGTAACATTGAATTTGCTTCCCAGTCAGATAATTGATAAGACAAACACAGAAGAGTGTGTGCATTAACATAATGTCAGATTTTAAAAAGAAGTTGTAATAAAAACAAACTTTATTAAAACAGGGCATCTCAAGGTATTTTGGCATCCTGTCTCAAGTGTAATTTGAGCACATGCTTACCCCCCTGTCCAACACACACACACACACACACACACACACACACACAGCTGAATAGAATAAAATGGGATCATGAGGGTGCGGGCAAGAACTTGAATTTCCAAGAATACTGAATGCCCAGCTTGAAGTTCACTCCCATCAGCCCTAGCTAGTATGCCTGATCAAGAATGTGTTTTGCTACAGTCCAAAATATCCCCAAGTTGGGGAAGGCAAATGTAGGAGTGCTGTACTGCTTTGACTGCTAATGTAGATTATACCAGGAGACTAAATGCCCCAACTCCATTTTGCAGTACATTTTTTGCAACTTTTGCTTTTGTTTTGCATAAGCAACTGGGTGGAGGAACAGAAAAGGTGACACATTTTTTTACTAGATTAAGTAATCCTTCCCCTGCAGGATTCCAGAGCTCTGAGCCATGCGAGAAGGAAAGGCATGGGCAACTTATGTGCATCTGAGAGAAGAGAAAGAGACAGCAATAGCCCAGGATGTGTCGTCTCTGACACCAAAGACAAAGCCAGGTGCACCTGCAGTTGACACCAGCACTGGCACAAACTCTTCCACTGATTGAGGCAGGAGAGCACATGTTCAGACTACCACAATGCCTCCTCACTGATGCAGCATCCCCAGCTAACCCTCTTCCCTTCTCCCGCCCTCTGGAGACCCATACTGACTGGAGCAAGCAGCCAGCGAAGCTCTTCAACTAAAGCACAGGTAGTATACAATTCACCCCTCCAGCATTCAAGGCAGGGGACTGACCTCATCTCAAGCAAGTATTGTCCCCCACTGGTGCACACACGCACCTTTCAGCGGAATAAACCAATAGAAAATGGCTGGCCAAGGAGGAGTATCCTGTAGTGCTCCTGCTCCTCCACCAACACAACAACCAAGACTTTCTACAGCAACCTATGCAATGATCAGGTCAGCTCCTCAACTCCATAATTTTGCTCACTTTGGACACGAGCATCTCATTCTTTTTAGCTGTTTATGCGTACTAGCTTCCAGTAGGCTAGCAGTGACTCTCACTAGCACACCATAAGGACTGGGAACTGCCTAAGAATATTGTGATGTCTGCAGAAGGACATTACTGGAAGGAGGTAGTGTCATTTTAAATTAAATAAGTATTTTATGTTTTTTATTGTTTCTTAAGTGGTTTAATTATAGGGTGAGGTAAAGATATCTCAGAGGTTCCTCAGTATTCCAGGGTGAAGAGGAAGAAACTCATAAAGAAGAGGAAGTAAACATGTGGACATATCATCCAAGCATGGTATCCATTCAAGCATGAAAGTAATAACCTAGGAAGAGTGAATTTTACGAGTTGCCCAAAAAATAATGCACAGAGATAAATGTGGACCAAAACAGAAGGTGTGGTTAGATTTAGGAATAATGCACTACTCATAGATATATCTATGAGATGTAAGAAACATAACAAAAAGTATTTTTTCTTCTATAAGGAAGTATGTCTGGATGTTGCATTCTGGTTTTAAATAGTTGTGAGTCATTCAAAATGAAGCACAGGCTGTGAAAAGGCAGGATATAAATTTCTACATAAGCAACACCCTAACCAACAAAATAACTTGGAAGTAGCCCATACTGGTTTCTATGGAACGCTTGCAGTGATGCTTAGGATAGCATCATTAATTTAAACTGAGTTACATTAAATACAGGTATTTGTTATGAATTAGTGAGAAAGCACATGATGCAGATGAACACTTTGCCTATAAAGAAGAATGAACAGGGAGTGAAATGGAGACAGACTGAATCAACCTTTATAGACACAGCTAAGTATGTTTACTCAGAAGTGAGTTCAACTACATTCAGTAAGTCTTATGTTTTGTAAGTTTGTTTAGGATTGTAGTTTTAAATAAAAGTGGTTGGTATTCATCCATTGTATTCAGTTTTATACATTTATGCTGTTATTTACAATATTTTAACCAATTACAACTTAAAGCAAAGGTGAGCAACTTATGGGCCTCCGGATGTTTCCGCTTACAATTCCTGCACTGGCGCCAGATGCCAGGCTCCGCTGTACCATTACAAAGTGTTGGGTTCCTGCCGCTGCCCTGCTGGGCCCCTGAAGCTCCCTGCCCAGCCATTGCATGCTTGCCAACCCTCCCAGCTCACCAAAGCCCCATCCTGCTCACTTGTCCTCCTCATCTTTTTTTGTGATGTTCTCCTCACGCTCCTCCAGCTTCATCCGTTGTGAACGGCCTGCCAAGCAAAACACTGCACCAGCCAGTGAAGTAACCAAGCCTTTTTTTCTAAAGCAACCTTTCTTCATAGGTGTTGCATGAGGGACCTGAACAAATCACAATGCACACTAGGTGTTAAGTAATTCAAAAGCAGAAATGTGCATCTCACCAGCATCTTGCGTCACAAAGCAATCTTGCTCAGCTTCGTTTCTCATCGTTCCCACATCAGATGTTTGCCGTTAAGACACCATCTCCCAAGCTTAACAACCTAGATGATGCAACAAAAAAGACGACATTAGTGGACACTTGGATGAGTTTATTAATTTAAATTTGTATTGGCAACCTCTGCACTCTGTCTTGATCCAGGTATTGTATTGTCTGATGCTAGCCTGGCAGGACCTTCTTGGTTATGGCACACATCTAAGCCGTTATCGCCACGCAGATGTTTGACGGGTGCGTTCTGGTTGGGTTTTATGAAAATCTGTAAATCCTTTTGTACTGGCAAGCCTTTGGATACCGGCTCCCTCCCAACTATACTGGGGAATCGCACTGAGATTTCTGTGATGCTTTTCTAGTTTTATAGGTCAATGGTTACTATTGTTTTTTGGTCTCCAGCTTTCTTGTTTCACTGGGTAGCTTATTGCTTATAGTAATATTTTAAACTGAATGTCAGACCTGTTCTTTGTAAAGTACCATGTCATAGCTGACACTAAACAACAGCAGCAGAAGCAACAGAGTTTTAGTATAATAATTACACAAGTTCCAAGGACAAATAAAGGAAAGTAAATCAAGCTGGGGACTCACTAGTTGTTTAATCATGCTAAACTATGCCATCAGAAATTAAATCAGGACATCACACCTTTTCTCAGGCCATCAGTACTTCCTCTTCCAACTCAAAATGGTCACACTGGATATTGACCAGTCATCAGTGAGAGCTTTCAGCTGTCATTATGTGAGGTTTCTTTTACCATTGGTAAATGGAATAGGGCTGTGATAAGATTTTGACATTAAGAGCATGACACAATCCAGTCATCAAACCCAGTTAAACTAAAAAGCTTGGCTTAAAAAATATGGAATCTCATTTATATCAATGAGTCAAAATCAGATTACAGGCAAATCCTTTGCATTAACTGAGGTGTAAATGGGTCCCCTGCTGCAGGGGTAACTAAATAGTTTTAATTCAATTACTTTGATTTACTTGGGTTAAGAATCCCACAAGAGGCACCTGTTCTTCTGAATTCATTTTCTTGTCATCAAATAGGAGAACAATAAAACAACCATTCTCTGGGTGTCTTGTGACTGACCTGTCAAAACCATGGAGAATCAGTGTGTGTGTATCCTTAAATATTAGATTTGAAATCTTTTCTATGCAAAGTAGCACTGACAGTAGCACCTCAATACCCACATATAAGAAGCTTCTGAAAAATCCATTTGTTTTAAGAATAAAATTAGCTGCTGCTGCTGCTTCTCCTTCATTTCTGACAAAGAAATTCCTGCTGTGTAGGGTTAAATGTAGGTCAAGCTGTCTGAGCCTGTGTCTGCAGCACATTCAACACTAGATTAAATTGGGATTTTCCACTTACTCAACTGTCAATCTCTGTAATATTGGTAAAAGTTAAATTAATCAGGAGTGAGTGGAAACTGTCTCTCAAGGGGACTTTGTGAACTCTCCAGTGTTGCTTTGGTTTGTAGCAGCAAGGGGGGGTGGGGAAGAACACAGTTTCTGTTACTAAAATATTCCTAGGTTTCATCTGTTTGCCGAGCAATCCAGGAGTCTCTCAGTGAAGGAAGGAGGGAGAAGTTATATGAAAATGACTTGCAAATCTTTGGTTAAAGCCCTTGTCACAATATAGTCCACCTGAATAGCTCACCTAAATGCTCATCTATGTCAGTGGTTTTCAACCACTGGTCAGTGGTGCCAGTTCGGGGGAGATTTCCTGCCAGTCTGTGGGGGGGGGTGCATCCCACTCGCCATGGACCAGCACGGGGGCTGACTGTGCTCCACCACCTCTTCTTTGGTTGGCATCATGTTTGCAGGGGGTGCACCAGTGCTGACAGGGGTGGGGGCAGCTGGAAAGGGGAGAGACTGTGGCTGGAAGCAAGGCTGCACCAATTTCAGTATGTTGTTGCCATTTTTGGTTGCTTGGTTTTTGGTTGGTTTGAACGGTTAGGGGGTTTTTTGTTTTTGTTTTGGTATTGCGTTTGGAAACTAACACATGATCATGTGTATCACGCCTTTTGTTTCTTTCTCAGTGGGCCCCCATGTGGTTTTCCTGTTTTTGCTGCTGCCCAGCTGTGGAAAGGTTGAAAACCACTGACTTATGTTATTTTGCAAAAGACATAGGGCTGTATCTGCTCTTATCATGTAGTGCTTATCTGCTGATTGACCAGCAGTTCTCTGGTCTTTCAGAAAGAAGTCCATTCCCAGCCCTACTTCAGCTCATCAGGGGTTAAACCTTGGTCCACCTGTGTGCAAAGCACACGCTTTATTACTGAGCTATGGCTCTTTCCCATCTGCTCTCTGCACGTGCAAAAGCTCTGAGAAACCCAGTGAATCTCCCTTCCCGCAATGACCACCTGACTCTTTTCAGTTGACAGATGCAGAGGGATGACGGTAAATGCTCTTGTCTTCTTTCAGAGGTATGAAGCTGCCTCTTTCTCTAAGAGCTGTACATGAATATGCAGCCCTTGCACAGAACTGAAAAAGCTATTGTGTGCTTCTAAGGAATGGAGCATAGCGTGAGCTTTTGTCATGTTTTCATCTACATTGTGATAGCCTTCAGACATAGAACTTCCAGTCTACACAGGTTTGAAGCTGTTTTATGACAATAAATCACTTCTGATGTTTCCATACAGAACAGGTGTGGGGAAACACCTTCGGCTTCCTTCAGTTTTGGAGAAGCTTTGGCGAGGGAGGACAAAGGTAAAGGGATGCGGTCAAGATTCCAAAAACACCAGCACAATTTATCTTAAAGTTCTCATCTCATTAAAGCCTTAGGAAAGGTGTTTCAACCTTTCATAATGAGGGAGAAACTGTGCAAAACTTAGGTAACTACCACAAAATCGATGGCTAAGGGAAAGAGGATGAGACCAGTGGAAGGAGAGTGAACATTTTGGGATTTTCAAAGGGCCAGATTTAGCTGCCAGGCCTGAAGCTCTCACCCCTGACAGATGAATGTTTAGAAGTGACTATGACTAGAAGTTGTGGCCTCTCCCTCACTGGAGACATTCAAAAAGTCACCTGAATGGGATGATTAGTGTGAACCCCGTGGCCTTCTGGCCCCTTCCGGCTCTACAATGATTCTATGATGCCATGAAGATGGTTGCAATGACAAAAAAGGATTTAGAATATTACATAAACTTAGCTCATAAAGCACCCTCAGGGTTTGAGAGGATTGACTCCAATTTTGAAAGAAGTTCTACTGTGGGTGACATGTTATCAAATAGCATTGCATGCTACAGAGAAATCTTTCATGAAAGGAAGAGTCAATCAAGGTGGCAAACTTCATTGTTGTCTTATCTTAAGAAACTGCCATGGCTACCCCAACTTTCAGTAACCACCAGTCAGCAGGGAGACCATCCACTAGCAAAGATTACAACTCACTGAAGACTCAGATGATGGTTAGCATTTTTTCACACTTAATAGATTACAGCAGAGTGTAAACATAACTTTTATATGCACTGGGAAACCAAGAACGTTGTATGACTTGTTTATTGCAATATTTGCTTATTGTGATATTCGCTTTATCAGGGTGGTCTGGAACCTAACCCACAATATCCTTGAGGTATGCCTGTATATTACAGTTTATCTATGGTTTTTAAAATTATGTTTTACTGTGCTGTTCTATTTTATTAGTTTTAAATTTTATGTTGTGAACTGCCTAGACTATTTTGGGTAATGGGCACAATAGAGATATAATAAATAGAAAAATAAAATGGCCAATTGACACTCCTTCTGGATATTCCACTAGTGACTAGAGGCTAGCTTAGACTAATAACCACAGAGATTGTATCTAGAATCAGCAGAGTGCAAGCAACTCCAGCAAATATGAAAATAAAAATAGGAGTACAAATAGGATTACTTCAAGAGATGATACTGGCAGCAAGTTTTAACTGCACATTTTAATTAGAACTCAAAGTACAGCAGATCAAAACTGTGATAATGAAAAAGAAGCCTAATTATTAATTTTTTGTCTAAAGCAGCAAAGTCTCATTAGAAGCAGAATTTGAGTTATAAAAGGCTCTGGAATGTTAAAAATATGGTATTTAATGAGGATCAATACACTTGGGAAGCTGAAAGAGAAACCTGAATGTTTTACCACACAACAGCAGACACTGGATTAATCCATCAGCAGAACACCTCCTATGGAGACGAGATACTCTATATGTAGCTGGTGCACAGGCAAAAGATTTCATGAGACAAATATCAAACGAAGGCCATATTTTAAACAAATATAATTAGAATGAAAAGCAGATTAGGGAAAGATCAAAGCACTTTCAGGAATGAAGTTTTGCATCTGAGTGGTGCATCTGGGATTTGGAGCCAGGGTTAAAGAAATCAAGTAATTTAGCTTTTATTTTTTAATGGGACCCATAAAACAAAGCAGGCAGGGAGAAAAATCTTGAAAGGACTGGTGTGATATAAACCCAGAGGCACAAAAGCCTGATAGTAAAGATATGCTTTAACTCATGTTTCTCAGTGTTTTTCCAAACACATTTCTACAATAGACAACATCCTTTTTATGAAGGGTAGCTGATATGTAATGCACATTCTTTACTAACCCCGCAAAACCCAGCTCTTGCTCGGAGTGAACTGACTTTAGTGCGCACACACACACACACACACTACTCTGCTGTCAAGACCTTGCCTAGAACTCTTCACTGCACACAGCCCACCCCATCCTATTCCTATAGCCCCCCAGGCATTTTTAGAGCTTCTCTTTCTGATAAGGGCACACAAGCTGGCAAGCTAGTGGAGTGGCAACATAGGGCAGTACAGAGCTTTTCTTCAGAGCATGGGAAAACAGGAAATTGTCTTCTACTGAGCATTAGGTCCACCTAGCCCAGTATTATTGGAACTGTCTGGCAGAACCAAGCTAGGTTTTCAGGCAGGAGTTTTTCCATCTGTCCCTGGAGGACAACATCTGTTTGAGGAAAAAAGGGGAGGAAAAAAACAGGAGACCAATTAATGTATTGATTTTTTAATAGTTTTGTTCTGTGGTTTGACCACAGCTTCTTAAGAACAAGCATAAAATCTGTATTTAAAACTAACAACAGCACTTAGAGCAACATTTTCCTTTAAAAGTATTGCGATAACAGACCTTAGGTCTAAATACTAGAACATCACCATTTGCTCAGTTAAAAGGAGGCAAGTACACAACTGTTGAAATCTTTTTCTGCATATAATCGCGAGTTACATTAGAAATTAAGCAGCAAATTGATTAGGTTAAAAGGAATACCAAGATGCTTAAAGCAAGTTAAGATTCCTTATAGCTTCACATGAATCACCATTGAGAAGTTCCAATATAAACCACATGGCTGTTTTTTGTTTCAAATAACTTTAAAAACTTCAAATGAAATACTAAATATTGTGGATAGTGCTCTTGTTTTTCTGTCCAAATACCTTGAAACAACATAAACACACATACAAGCAACCCGGGCATATATAAAAGCAGGACGCGTGATCCAGTATGGAAAGCAACAAATCATATGCATCTCATTGTGTAATAAACATCATATGCTGCAAAATTAACACTAATGCACAATACAGATGGTCAGTGTATTGAAAGCAGGCAAGAATTCATAAGTAAATTCAGTGGGTCCAGAGTAGCACTTAGCTGAGTTCTGCATCAGCTGAAAGAATGGAGTGGTAATCTTCATGGTAATCTTCATGATTCCATCTTCCCCCCACCCCCACCAGTCCTCTGTGTTTTCTTCTCTGGGGAGGTAGGGGATGCCCCTATTCACAGCAGCATGAGAGATTAACACAGAGTGCTGCAGCAGAAAGGGGGAATTTGAAAATTGTCTCTCCACGCCTTCCTCCAGCAGGGAGCATTCACTGGATCCCAGTTCCCTCCATCAATTGGAAGGAATCCTTCTGTTCACAAAATAACTAATCTGGATCCAACCCAATATCTAATAGTCAAGTTTGTATACAGATCTTCATAACATTATCTGTATCTAAACTACTTGACAAGCTTCTTGAATATCAAGTTCTGCAGTAAGGTGTTAATTGCTTTTGCACTCCAGATAAAGAAATTATCTGTAAAGTGGTAAAGTGAACTATCTGCTTCAATTTTTGTTAACAATATGCCCCAAGCTCTCGTTTCTGATTAAAATATGTGTACATTTAGTTTTGTTCTAAAATTATGATGCTTTCTAATAAGAGAAAAAATATGAACAGAGACCTCCATGCCTACTTGATAGGCTCTATCATTTCTTTCCACCACTGCAGCTTCAAAGCAGAGTGGTGATTTTTAAAGGAGGCAACATCTTGCTTGGTCCACAACATCTGTTATTGCAATGTGCATTCTAGATATCACCTGGCACATAGTTCAGTAACATGCAAGGTTTCTTCTACTCCAAAAATCACAATAGTGCAGAGCAAACAAGGAAAAGATCAGTACAACAAAATTTTTAAGTTAACACTCTGTGTTCCAACCAAATGAACTAACAATACTAATAAGCTGTGCATACTCAAGTATCATTGTAGATTTCCTAAAACAGCACAGTATGGGTGTGGAGATGGACTAACAGAACAATCTGTAAGGATATGAAAACCCCACAAACACCATAATATTAGAGGATGTGAGTGGCAATTATTATCCTGGTACAGGATATAAGTAGTTATTTCCTAGAAGGATATTACTGAGCAAAATGGGAGGCCAGTACAGAAATTATACGTTAACAAGAACAGAGCAAAGAGCACATTTCTGAACTTCTTTGGCCTCGAAGACCTGGCAGACCTTTCCTCAGATTTGGATCAGTCTATCCAGCAATTAACTTGATGTTGATCTCTGGCAGTGGCTGCCAAACAAACATAATTTTCAGCACATCCCTTGAAACCATTGTGTTATGTTCATGGCTACAAGATAACAAAGCTACCAACAGACATGGGAAACCATTGGGTTTAAACCAGTGGTATTGAACTTGTGGTCTACCATTAATTTGTGCCCTGGGAAGAGGAAAAATTTACTAGGACAGCTCTGCTGAATTCAGCTTAGATGTTCCTGTTATCACTATGGTTGTCAAAGGGGATCAAAAGAGGCCAAACAATATAAAGGAGTTTCCCACTCCTAGGTCACAAGATTATTCTGGACTTGACCGAATTCTTGTGTGTAATTAAGGTTATTGATAGGTATTTTGTTTTAAAGGTCCTTTCAAAACAGGGTGATTATAATATTCTCTTATCTAAAAGTATGCCTTATACTTCTGAGGTATTTGCTTGGCCTAACAAACCTAAACTCTAGAAGCAGGATAGAATGTGGACAGATGGTGAACTTGTACTGTGAAGTCAACCTTGCTGTACACCACTCCAGCCCACACAAAAGAATATTCTCCTTGTTCTCATAAGCAAAATCCCATCTCATTGTTCAAATTAAAAACAAAGCCCCAAAGCAAAATATCGCATTGTTTCTCTCTCTCTCTCACTAAAACACTTTCACAATTCTTAACGGCATTGGCCAGAAAAAGGCTGTTCATCTTGCCAGATGGACAACTAAGAAATCCATGACCAGCATCCTTCAAAAGTCACCCTAACATCAAGCATTCTTGATATCAATATGTAATGTGGAACCAGGTTTTTTAAAAATTGCACAAAAAAGTAGGGAGGATAAATTAGGATGACACATCCTGAAAGCAATGCTTGTGATAAAATCAAAAGTGCATGAAGCTAGCAGAATGGGAACCAGCGGAGACCCGGCATGGTGCACTATGGTCTGTGCTGAGACTGGAGATGGGCAGAAGTGCCCAGCATACACAGAGTGCAAAATGAAGATGTGCACGGAACATGAATGCTCAACTCACCATCTAGACATACTGTAAATCAGAAGTGAGCATAAAATATAACTCTTGAAAGATAAAAATGCTTCACCATCTTACATTTTTCAGGCATGGTTTAAAGTTTCTACTTTAACCAAAAGGATATCTTTTAAAAGTTGCTGTTTCAAATATACAGGTTCTAGGATCTGACCTATCTCTAGATTGATATGGAACAAAATAAATATTGGTTGATGGGGAAAAGCCAAATACTGGTTCAATTTTATCACAAAGCAACAACAGAATCAGCAGCTGCTACAAAGAGTGAAGTGGGGTGTTTTCAAAGTGGCACAAACGAACACACTCACCAAAGACTCCTTATAGAGAAGATGCATTAAGCAACCAATTACCATCAACAGGCTAGTTTAAAGTGGTTTGCTCAAAGATTCCTTTTCCCTTATACTATTTTGATAATTCATAGTAAAATAAAAAATACACAGACTTCTTACCATTAGTATGCATTGCTTTGCATATTATTTTGCCAGAAAAGGAAAGGAAAGGAAAGGAAAGGAAAGGAAAGGAAAGGAAAGGAAAGGCAGAAGCAGAAAACTAGGCATTTACAAGTTCTATGCCTTTTTTTGTTAAAATGCTTATCTGCTATACATCATTTTACAGTATTAACAATGGGTCTCTTTTTGTTTCTGTTCTACCCATTGGGTAGGATATATGCATCATATATTCAAGTTATATACAGCACCTTAAAAATCAAAACCAGAAGAGACAGATGATCAGAAAAGCACCATTTTCAGTGAGGCACAACGAAGGCAGGAGCATAAGGCCCAATTCAAACAAAAGGTCAATCAAGTCAGCAGGAATTTCCCTACTGGTTTCAATGGACTTTGAAGCATCAAGCCTAAAGAGTGCAAAATGTGTGTGTCCGGGGGGGGGGGGGGGGGGGGGTCTTATCTGCTCAAGTCCTGAACATGAGGCACCTAGTTGCTTATGAACCACAAACATGCAGACCTTCTCCAAATGATGCTTTGTAATATTCACGCACACACATACTGTTAAAAGTAATACCCCTACCATAACATATGGGACAAAACCCCAACTTGGCGGGGCAGGGAAGAGGGAAGCAAAATAAGGGTCCATAAGACCCTTGCACATATCGCATTGTTTCCACACAACCACCTTATATATCTATCCATTTAAAGTAGCAGCAATATAGCAACAAATAACCTGATACTACACATGGTTACACAACACTACTCCCCTTCCCCTGATTCCAAAGGAATTTATTTCCAAGCAAGCAGGTTTAGGGTTAAAGTCTATTTGTCATGATCAGCACAAACACACTCTCTTGCAGGGCATGACTAAAGATTCCCTCTCTCCCCGCAATCCAAAGTATCATTTTACAAAACAGTGTGTCTGAACCTTAAACCACCAAAACATGATTCAAGATGGAAGCTGGAAGAAGTTATTAGGTTCTGTTCAGGACACAGTCAGTTCAAGCTTGCTTCATCCTGATCAATTTGCTTTTTGAAGTACAATGCAGGCATCAGAACTGAGGAAAGAGAACATGTTAGCCAACATTGTAGCCCAACAATTCTCCAACATACTTGTAACTCTAACACTTTGTACTGGTAGCAGTTGTTGCACTATTGATAGGAAATGTCAGAAGCAGGTAAACAACTCACTTGTTTTCAAATTTTGCATTGAAACACTTGTGTTAGTATGTAACTGACTTCAGAGGAGTAAACTCTAACTATAGGTCATACAGCAGTCTGCTAGGACAGAACTAGGAAATCTGTAGCCCTCCAGTTGTTGGTGGACACATACCCCCATTATTCTGGCCAGGCTGGCAGAGGCAGATGGGAAATGGAGTCCAAACACATTGGGAAGCCATAGGTTCCCCAGTCCAGCAATATGGAGAGGACTTTCAAAAGTTGAATAGGTCAGTGCCTGCCCAGTTTTTCATCAGAAGACAGGTTTTGAGATGATGATCCCCACTATTAGTCACATGTGGGGTCAGTTTGTTACCCCATACAAAAGCACCTCGGGCACAGCAAATAGTGCATACAAAAGGCCTTTGTTCTGATTTAACATCCTCTCTCAAAAAAACCAGGTGGATTAATTAGCATAAGAATGGCTTTTGGCTTTCAGCAACTACAAGTAATCTAAGACTTACATTTTCCTGAGGCTATGCCTAACAATAGCATCTGCAAAGCAATGTTTAGCCCATTTTTTCTTCAGGGGCAACTTGATACTTTGGCAAACTTACAAGTAGGGGGGTGCCTACTTTAAACTGTCATTATTTTCTTACAGTTTGTCTCACAAGATTCTCATTTTAAACTACTGGGGGAAAATGTACTTCAAATATTAGTCTCTATATAACAGAGGTCCCCAGTGCGGGACCTGTGGACACCCTGGTGCCTGACAGCTCCAATGGTAGCAGCCTAGCTCTTCACTCCCTATCCCCTTCAAAAATGGTACTTTTAGTACACTAAGTTTTTTTGTTCGTGAACCTGCCACCAATCAGTGGGCTAGAAGAGAAAGCAAGGGAAAAGTATAGAGAAGAGAGAAAGAAGGAAGAAGAGGACAGAAAGAAACTAGGGATGGAGGAGGTGAGAAAGGGTAAAAGGTAGAGGCAGGAAGTGGGTAGAGAGGAGAGAAAGCAAGCTATTGTGAACTGTCTGTGTGGACAGAAGCAGCCTGGGTGGAGCCAGGAAGCACTTCTTTTCATTCCCGCTCCCTTTCCACTTTTTCTGCCTCCCCACACATCCTCTCACCTAGTCAGGCTCCCCGAGCAGCGGTCATCTCACTCCCAAATCCTCAATGGAAGCCATTGGGTGGCTTCTCAAATTCCCAAATGTGCCCACAGGTCCAAAATGGTCGGGAATCCTGTTATAGCGGATTGCTGCCTTTTATTTCCTAGTTTAGCTGCTGGACACATTCATGTATGCGCACATGTATTCTAGAAGTACTTGCTTGAAATAAGCAGCAAATGTGTGTAGTGAATCATTACAATTGAAACATCACACATTCAAGTTGAGAAATAATGGCAATTACCACTTTATTAACATATGTATGAGCTGATCTATAGCCTACCATTAAAGAAAGTAACTGAATGAACTTAAGGCTTTCTACAGGAAGAATGGGATTCACATTTATATTATTCAGAGTTAGTTTAGGCAGTGAGTTCTTGCATGTGCTCTATTAAATCAAGAAAAAGCCTTGCTCAATGGATAAACTTTGTTCCAGTGCCACTATTGTTTCTTCTCTGGACTTCTTTCAGATCCAGTTCTTTCGTACTGCCTACAAGTTTCCTCAGGAATTATAGTGGAGGCTGACAGGAAGAGGAAATAAATCTCTCTCTTTTTTTTTTTTTTTGGAGTCAAAGATGAAGTAGAAATCTGCATTCTTCTTGCCCAAATCAAAGGTTGCACAGAAAGTTTATTTCTAGAATGTTTGAAAGTTGCACTCTGTGGCATAGAACCCATGAGTGAGTCAGAGACCACAAAGAACCAGAAGGTTAAGAACGATGACAAACTAATGATTATGAAAGGAAGAGGCCATTAAACAAGCTTGCACTCCCATAAAAGGAATGATGATGCTAAAGATAATCAAAAAGCAAGCACTGGCTGATCTATATCAACAGGCAGAGAAGTACTTGTCTGGTATCACTGTAGTCAGTATCTAAGTTCACAAGGATCTTTGCAATTTGTGCCAATACAAAATGGACTCTGGACAGTGATAATATATTTTTAAAAGAATATAGCAGGAACAACTTTTAAACCTTCCCAAATAAAAGGGTTGTTGGCTAGGAGACTTCTCACACATATCTCTGACAGCACAAAGAAATGAGAAAGTACTATATATAAAAGAAATAAGTCTAATTTCCTATCTAACCAAATACCTGTTGCATTCTGAAGGACAAATACTTTTGTGTTTAACAGCAGGGTGACCTCAAATTTAGAACTGTAACAATAAAAAGCACAATTAATTAGCTTATACCATCAAATATATCCATGCACCATCTGTGGAAGCAGACTCTATAAACTTCTAAAATTCGAATAGACCAGGCATTAAAAATGGCTACAAAAGTATATACCATATTGAAGCGAGATATACAAAAATCCATTGGCTTTACTGCATTACCTTGTGGAACAAGTACGTTAGCACACACCACAAAGAACTTTGTGCATGGCACATAATTTTAGATACAAATGTTACTGAATTTCACAGTTTTACAGGTAATATTTAAGAGCTAATATTTCATGGTGTCCCCACGTGCTCGTGTCCCATCCTATGCCTATAGAACAAAATTAGCTTCATTTCAGGTTTTCTCTCCAAATTAAAGCAAATTATATGTGATGGTTCCTTTCAACTAAAATCAATCAGATGTTGAAATACAAAAATGTATTATAGTTGTGAGTTTCACTGGTAAGCAGAAACTAAACTGCTCTTTTCTTTAGTCCAATGACATAAAACAGAAAAAGACATGTGTTAAGTAATGTTTCTCTGTATCACATTATACCTGGAAAAAATACCCTAAAGGATTATGTGACAGCAGAGAAACCTCTGCTCACTGCAGAGTGGGATACCTCCCATGAAATCCAAACATTTTCTAGCTCTCGAGACCACATCCAAGGAGAGCTTCTTTATATAAATCAGTAGAAGGCTGCTTCTAGAAGTCAGGGCATGGTACAACTTTAGCCAGCAAGATGTATCAGCTGCATGTTAACAGTACCTGAACATCTGAATTAGCACTTTCATGATGAACAAGAACAGTAGCGAATAGAACCAAGGAAGAGGTACTAGGTATCACTGGAGGTGCACAACATAAGGCAGAGCTCAAGAATAGGAAGGGCACACTTTACCATCTCAAGCAACCTCATTGCCATGAAAGGGGTGGGGCTGAAGCTAAATACATCAAGTACATCATGCTTAGGAATATTTAGGGCAATCTGATTCCCAGTATCTGTGGTCCTGTTGCTCAGATCTTGTGAACTTTGCTAGTGCCAATCAGAAGCAGCATTAGACCAGAACAAGGGAAATTGTGAAGTGTCCTGTTCTAGAACCAAGTGTGCTTTTGTTAGATAAACTAGGCCTTGTGGTTTGAGAGAACAAAGGTACGTACTTCCATATGTGATGCACTTTCTCAAGCACCTTGTCCCTAGGCAGGTGGGATAGCTGCACTGTAAAGCACTATAGTTGATCCTTGGAACAGCAGGAGCTGTTATGCTGCAAAGTTTTACAATCCCCAAATGCATATGAGCAAATACATGTTTTTTCCCCACAACCCTGTCTAGAGTTCATTTTCTATCACCTACTCTCCCACACAAACCCCACACTGCCATGTTGACCGGAAATGTAAAAGGTTAAACAAAGAAAACTAAGAACACCAATCAATCCTCCAGTTTTTCAAAACAAAACAGGCCTTTCTGCAATTGGCTCAAATGGTACACCAAGAATGTTGAACCTTTTTCAGTAAAATGCTTGAATTCCATTCTGGAGTTGTTCTTGAAGAACATATTTCTCAAGGGATAGAGCTCAAGGCAAAAGTGGCAGAACTGAGACCATTTTAGCTTAAATATCTTATTGTCAGTAATTACCTTAAAAGAAACATTCCAGAATGGAAATAGCCGCACACAAGCCAGACAATTGCCCAGTAATCAATGGTGGGGAAAGGGAAGGTTCATCTAGGAATTCTGAACAGGCAGATTTGGACCACAGCCTGTTTCTTCACCCTGGCTAAGGTGAACAAGAACTAGAGGAACTCATGATTTCAATACAAAATTGTGTCCGTGGCAGTTAACAGCAAAGGACGACTATCAGGTACTTCTCACAACTTCTCAGGTGCTTCTCATATGAATTTTAAAAGGTAGTTTGAGTTTAGCACCATCAAATTCAAAGATTTACATAAAGGGAGAGTAGCGCTGCACTGTCAGGTTCATGTTTTTTTTTCCCCAAATGTCCAGGATTGTGATCAAAACCATAATTCATGATTTTGCCATGAAAAATCAGGAAAATTAAAGGTTTAAAGTGAATTATCTATGTATAGATGTTTTACAGCCATTTGGCCAAATGATTTTTTAAAGTAAACTTAAATAGAGCAAAGTTTTTATTAATACCAATCAAAATGTTACCAAATAGCAAGTTTTGTATATGACTCTTCTTTAGGCTGGATGTTATGATAAATGAAAAGGGTGGGAAAACCATTGTGAAATATCCAAAATGTAGCCGATGTACTCTTCAGAATTAAAGGGGATATTTTTTTTCTTTCATAACTCATGAAATTGTATATTATTTATTTATTTATAACATTTTTATGCCACACCCACGTATTTATGAGGTGGGATCATGCTATCTGTGTGGGAAAGGGCCTAGGGTTGGACCAAGTCCTTCAGAAGGGCTTCTTGGTCCATGGTCTCTGCTTTGGAACATGCTTCCTGTGCTGTTCCTGCAAACTTATCCTGAGGGATGAATTTCAGAAGTGGCATAGTTCTTGTGTGACTTGAACTTAGCCCTGAAGAGTCAGCACTTGATACCCAAATCCCTTTCTATCCCCACTTCAGTTTTAAATGTTCCAAAGGAGCCATCTCTCTGCTCCATATTGTATTTACACATCAAATACAAAACATTCCTTTTGATAAAAATTGCAATACATTCCAAATTCTTCAAAATACAAATTATGGCAGTAAATTAAAGAACAGAAATGCAGATGTGTTTATTTCATATTCTAATAATAAAATTTGAGTGTTCATGTGTATACGTCTCAAATCCCTACCTCAGCAAATGCTTCTGTGGCAGAGGAACAGCAAATTTTATTTTTCTTGGAATTATGGTAAAAGCTTTCAAAAACTGGAGGAGCTCTATTCTACTTGGTTAATAATGGAAGATCACTAGAAAAGACTATACAGTTGCAATATTTTTATCCAGAAAAACTCTTACAAAATCGTAACTCATAGTCACTCACCTGAATATGTTATCAACCTAATGCAGTCATGGATGAACTGCAGTTTTTAGTGTCAGTGTATAATACTTATTTAATCTAAGTATTAAATATAGCGTACTGCTTAGCCTGTTCAGGACCGCTTAGGGTAGCTTTTAAAATCCATAACCAGTCATAACCAAGTAAAAGTAAAGCTAAACTTTCTTTTAAAAAATTGTAGTATTAGAGAGAGAACAGACCAAGAACCAAGGTTGAAATGTCCTGCTTGATACAGGAAGGACCTTTTTTCCTATGTCCATTTGTTACTGTAAATTGCAAAAAAGTCACTTGACACTGTAGTATTTCCACTTAAAAATATTTAAAGCATTTTAAAGTTCAAATATTTAATAGAGCAATTTCTGTCTTATCATTTGCACAAAGATAATGAAAAATTAAAAACATCTTGTTACTTCTAGACTTAAATTTAAAAATGTCCTTTTGCTACATCAGCACTTACACTTGTTGATGTTAACAGTCACTGTCACAACCTTTTGGCATAGTACAAAAAATTACTGAGTAGACGGTTTATATATACCTCTTTCTTAAATGTCTCAGTTTGATCACTGATCTGTTTTGATAAAATTAAGGTGCTCCTACTTGAATAATGCTGAACACAAGGAAGGTTTATTACATTCATTTTATTATCTAAATGTAATTTGCATGTTTTATATTGCTAGTCACTGGACAGGGCCAGCCCTATCATAGCTATAGTGAGGAGATCATTCCAACATTGTGGGTGTCATGAAAGGACATAAAATTATTGGGGTTTTAGGGCATTATCCTATGCATTCCCAATGTTGTCTGGGGCCGGGGCACAGTCAGAGCCCCAGCTCTGAGGTCCTCGCAGCTGGCACTGGAATAATCAAACTGACTGCTTCTCCAAAGTTGAATATCCACCTTGGGAGAGAAGGAAAAGGGGTGTGCCAGGGAGTGATGAGAAGAAGGGGCTGGGCCAGTCACTTAAGTCATATGTAAATAGAACTCCCATTCTCCTTCATTTCCCCTACTTAGCACTACATCTAGGTAGCTGTGCAGTATGTGAGGTGGCAGAAATTTCTTCCACACCTTATGCTGGGCATCAGATGCATATAAGCCTCCAAGTTTGGAAACGCACATGCACTGAGTGCAAAGGGCATTGTATTGTGCTGGGTTTTCAGTTTAACTGTACAAGTGAAAGCATTAAAATGGTATTTTCACAGTACAAGTGAAAGGAAGTAAAAAAAAGTTATCCTGTACCACAACAGAACTTGTTTTGCTAGAAGAAATAGATCTGAATCAAGAGAAAGCCCAGAACATTCCACACCAAAATCCCCACCTCATTATCTGTCACAATTAACACCTGTTGGAGCCACTACAAATTATGTACAAAGCCACATTTTAAAATAACACACTACTAAGCCGACCTGATTCTCACATGAAATTTAGGATGAAAGTACACCTTCCAACTACAAATCCCAGCTGTTCTAGGAGAATGAAAAGAGACAGTAACATAAGCAGATAACAAACTTCTGAATACTCATATACAGCAAGCTGGTTCCTTCTTATCCAAGCAACCTACATAGAGATTGTTCTAGCAAGGTACCAGGATGGTTTTATTTAAAGTCTCACACTTTTAAGTTAGAAATTACACAATTGTAGTTCAAGGGAGAATGGCTTTGGACCTTTTACTGAAGAAAGGGCCATCTCAGGGATAAGCAACTGCTCATGCATATGCACAGCATCTTTGAATCCACACTGCTGATTGATGAACAATCTAGAGCTCTTTAAAATAATAGAGCCAAAGGACTCAACCCATTGAATAAAAACATGAAAAATATGGAGAGTTCAGTAACTTGCAGTAGCCCTCTAAAAGTAATGGTTACACGCCTCTGATGACCAGGTTAAAATTAACATCTAGCTTTAAAACAAGTAGTTTAAAAAATGAATATGGTTTTGGGGAAATGGATTCCAAGTGATCTAATCCAAACACCTGTTTCCCTTATAATAAAGAGCTCCTAGCTTGACAGCCGAGCTTCATTTAATCGCTGCTGAAATTCAAAGACCTTAGTTGTGAATAAGTTTATACAATGGGAATGTCTCTACAAATGTATTTGACATGAGTGCAGACTTTTTACCTTTTCAGCTTATTCCAAGTTATAATTTAAGGGTATGCCCCATCTCTGACCATTTAATTCTGAAATATTTAGTTCAGAGATATTTCACTTGGAGATAAAACTAAGTCCAGGAGTTGAAGAACATGCCATCTTACCAAACACCATTTCTGCATTAATTAATAGACAATACTAAATGAATTTATAAGCTTATCTCCATTGAAAGGAAAAGATAGGAAAATTTCAAGGTACTCAACTTGTGATGGCTGCTGTAGACAACTACACTATTGCAAGTTAATTAATTACCATATGAAAGGCAGAGATAAGCAAGTCAGCAGAGATTACATAAATCAGATGAGCAACTATTAAATTATGGACTACGTTATAACAATATACTATTGGGCTGACTAGCTGTAACAACAAGGTTTTGTGTTTAGAAAGTATTAGTTAAAATGTCCCTCAAACTAGTCATCAAGTTCATGAGCTACCTCAGACTGATGAAAGCATCTTCACAGAAATATCTAAAGAACACATACTCCACACAGGCTGTTTGGGCGCTAAACTCCACAAAGATCAGAGACTTGCTTCAACAATCAGGTTTCAATTTAAGTTACTTCATTTTCTGGAAATCCTACAGAAAAGCAAACTTCAACAGAACAAACATTTTCAATACAGTACATTATTCCAGTCATTTGGTGCACTTGTCAGCTGTTTCACCGAGCAAAATGCTACCCATAAGACCATAGAAAAGGGGATCTTCCAAAGGAGATTTCTACTTTGTAGCTACAACTTGCTCAGGAATATTAGAATTAAGACTGTTAAGAAATTCTCTACTTTTTTCTACCATTTCCTAACCACATTTTGAAGTGCCCGTTGTGCTTTGTGTGTGCTTTTGAATCAACTTCTACTTTCCTTTGAAATGCCTTCCAATACAGATAGTGAGCACAGAAACCGATACTACAGCATGAATTCACTGATTCCTTAGGTTGCGATTCAAAAACGTAGCAGTCCTAAAGTGACATATGAAAAGGTAAGACAGATCAGTGCACACAGATGGGATTAACTAACTGCAAACACAATATTCTCAAACAGTTCCCAATATACTCCTAATGGTGCAGGCTCCTTTACAGTGCAATACTATGCATGTTCAGCTCGAAAAAAGCCATGCAACTCCTAGCAAACCTGGGCCATGAATAGCACTTTCCCCTTACTAATCATGCATAGCATTACGCTCTTAAGCATTGTTCAACCAGTTGAAGAAATGGCCGAGACTGGGAGGAGAGCTACAGAGATCCACTGTCTTTACAGAACTAAGACACAAAATATAATATAAAACACAAAAAATGTGATTTAACAGCAAAAAAAATCATAATACATTTATTGTATGATGTCAGGCTATGTGTCTGAATATATTATGGGCTACAGTGAAGATAAAAATCTGCAAAAGCTTTAGGTACTGCCAATACTGCATTATTTAAAAAAGGGGTGACAAGCAGTAAAGCTATAACTATAGTTACAAAATAAGTAATGTGGCTGGCATCTGCTTCTAGTTAAATAAATGGCTTATAGCTAAAACCACCTAGAGAAGGCAACTTCACATTTGCTTTCTTCCACCCATATGTTCCTAGACAATTTGTTGCTGCTCTATTCAAATGCAAAATTATTGCAAAATGTTGCATTAAGATGTTTTTACTCATTTTTATTCATGTAAAGTGATAAGAGGTCCAATTATATCCAATAGTCCCTGCTCCGTGATTATCAACAAAGGTCTGGGCTGTCCTTAAGAGGATTTCTTGGAGCTAATAATTCCACAGGTGAAAAGATGATGCATATAACTTCATGTAAAACAGTCCCCTCATATATATATATATATATATATGTATGTATGTATGTATGTATGTGTATATGTGTATATATATATGTATATGTATGTATACACACACACACATATACCTATATATGTATATATATAAGATAGTGCAAATTTAACACAACTGTATCACAACACAAATTAACTCCTCGCATTCACCTAGCTTTTTTTCCCTAACCCTTTAAACCTTGGCACACAAAACAAAAATCCCAAGTGAGATAAAAAGAAATTCCATACTTGGAGAGGGGGAAGGGTAAGCAAACTGGCCAATTTTGCCTCAATTTACCTAGTAACCCTTTCTTTTTCTCTTTTTTTAAGCCATTCACTTGCTATAAAACAGGCTGACCAAGCCATATTTCTGTGCTAAGTTACCTCTTAGAATTAAATAATTCAAATAGATTATTAAAAAAAATAATATATTTTCCCCAAAAACACTGCTTATGGCCAAACTGTATGGAAGGTTGTAATTATTTCAAACTACTTTTCATGCAATTCCCTGAAAGGATTCAGAAACAAAGAACAGCTTTGCACGTTTGGTTTTACTAAACTGCATCACATTAAACTTAATATTGTGCACAGGAGCATAGAAACTTCCATCATGCTCCTGTTTTATTCTCCTGTCTCTCTTCAAGTACACATGGAAGAGGAACCTAGACGAGGTTTCCTGGTTTCCTGTCTTTGCCTTTAACAGGGACTATTGTGCTCTCCGAATTGTTCTGCTGAAACTGAAGTCTGCTCCCCCTCTGTGATGAAGGAGGTGCATTGCTTTGCTGGTGATGGAAAAAAGAGGAACCAGGGTAATGCCCCATGACCTCACTGTAAGTTGGGGGTGGTCCTTCCATCCTTCCATTACTGCTATAATTGGTTGCACTTATGCCCGAATTGCTGCTTGGTGGGCAAGGGCCCCCACTGTACATTGAAATGTCTATCAAGTCGCTGTCAAATATAGTCCTGTTGGGTGGCGCTCTCACAGATTCTCTGTTGAGTTCCATCTGCTGTTCTGGGTCCCGAAGTTGCAGTGTGCATGGCCCTTGGTATGGTGGTGGCTCTTCGCCATCAGAGAGGGAGATAGTAGGAGGAAGGTCAATCTCATGCTGCATGTATGGATAGGTTGGCTGGAAGCGACTGAAATGTTCTCGCTGCATAAAGGATGGGGCAGTAAACCTGTCTCTGGATCGTGGGGCATACATAATCTGCAATAAAAACAAGGCATCAGCTAATCAATAATGTGAAACCTAAACTACTTTCC